ACAGAACAGCCCAGTTTTCTGCAAACACACAACGGGAAAAGTAAGTAATGGAACTATTAGAAAAAGAACACACACACACATAAAAGTAAAAGAAAAGATATTCCAATTAAAAGATAAATCTGGTAAACAGATTATTAATTTATTCACCCATGGGGGATGTATGCAATTATGATTATGTTAGTATTACCATCATTATTATTATTTGCCCTCAAATGAGACCCACCGTTCAGTACACAGTAAAGAAGAACAACACAGCCACAATCAGGAGCGGTGCTGCAGTGCGCATCCACACAGGACTGACAGTGCTGTCAACATTGGCCTTCTTCTGAACAGTGGAAGCGATATTACTGATCTTTGGGTCGATTACAACTGCAGGAGATGGTGTGGTGGTTGGTGCTTCGACAGTATTCTCGGTGGTGGGCGGAGTGGTGGCAGGTGTGTTGGGAGTTTCTGCGTCAGTGTTAGTAGTGACCGGAGTTGAGGTAACAGTTCCTTGTGTGTCGGGTGTGACAGTCACATCAACAGTTGAAGGAGATTGCTGGTTAAGATTACCATCACTCGGTGTACTCTTATCAGCTGTGCTGCTCGATGCTCCCTTGTTATTTTCTGTAGCAGGAGTAGACCCTTGAGGTTGGCTTTGCTCTGTCGACTTATCTCGTGCATCCTGTGTGTTTGTTTCAGCTTCAGGGGAACCGGAAGGTTCTTCTAAAGCATCCCCTGGTCTACTCCCTACGACTGTAGAACCTTCCTCAGTATGGGAACCAGCGTTCGGTTTATGTTCGTGTGAAGAACCACTCACACTCTTAGCCGCCAAATTCACAAAACGCTCGGAACAATTTACATCTCGAACTACACTTGTAGGGTTCTTCTCACACTCCTTATAAATACTGCTTGTCGCTGAAAGAAAATCACTCCATTCCGCCATCACTGCCTTTGGTTGTCCAGCATTAACAGTAGTAGTAGTAGCAATGGTTGTTGTTCTTGCTCCTCTTGCTCTTGCGGTACGCTGGCTGCAGAGGTCTGCGTACTTCCCACATGCAGACACACGGCTGCCCGCACCGCATGTTAGCCACTCGCTCTCAGCAGCGGGGCGTACACGCAGCGCACCGCCGGCCGCACACGACACCTCCACAGCCCCACGGGATACACCACGGCCACTGGGACTGTCATTATCAACAGCAGCAGCAGCCGCCATGGTATACCCNTAGCAATAATAATAATTATAGGATAAACACACAGAGAGCAAAAAACACACACAAAACACATTAACATTAAGAAACAAAAAAAGAAGAAATTTCCCAACAGGTAGAAGATTAGTTAGACTGTAGGGATGCATGCAAAAAAAGAAAACAAAGGATGACCTGATTCACACCACCACTACCACACAATCAGCACACAAGAATACAGGCCAGTGTAACCACAATCAGTAGTGGTACACGCATCCACACAGAACTGCTGATACTGCTGCTGCTGTCTGCATCACCCTTCTTGTTGTTTGTGAGTTCAGGAGGAAGTGTTGTTGTTGTGGTTGTTGTTGTGGTGGTGGTTGTGGTTGATTCCTCATTATTATTGGTTGCTTGATGACTCACTCTGTGCAGACGCAGTACCACTCTCGGTCGTTGAAGTTTCAGATTCACCGGCATTACCTGTGTCAGGTTTGTTAGAAGAAGAAGGTTGTGGTGCTTTATTGCCGTGGTGAGCTGCAGTTTCTCCAGCAGTACTGCTGCCAGTGTTTCCAGTTTGATCGTCAGCTGCAGGAGAAGCAGGAGTAGAAATTGCAGTATCAGGATCAGCAGGTGTTGTATTATTATGCGTATGAGTAGAGGGATGAGAACCTGAACTGCCACCAGTAGGACCAGCAGAACCTTCATCCAGTTGACTAGGCGCACCACCACTACCAGGATCCCTTTGGCCCTTTGCAACTTCAAGTCCTTCTTTTGGTTTTCCAGAGGCAGTAACAGCACTATTAAGAGTGTCATCTGTATTTGGTTTGCTGGATACTTCAGAAATAAGTTTAGGTGGCTCTTCAGAATGGGGAGAAAGAGAAGAAGCCTGTTCACTTAGTTGATCAGGAGAGGACTGTAAAGGGTCAAGAGACATTTCAACTAACTTTGCCTCAGGCGGACTTAATTGTTTGCTATTTTCTGCAACTTTGCGTTGATGGACTTGCTGTTTTGCTTGTGTCGTCTCAAGTTCGGAATTTGCCCGTTCCAGTTCTTGACGTGTTTTAACATATTCTTCCCTTTCGCTCATCTCCTGTTTAAGTCCCTTCCCACTAACTGTTCTTTCAGCAGCAACAGATTTACGACAATCAGGAGAATTCGAACTATCACCACAAGAAGGAGACGCAGAAAGATGCTCTTCATCTTCCCCATCCTCCTCTTCCACATGATGAAGCCAAAAACCTTCTTCTTCCTGTGCAGGAATAGCACGACGAACAAGAGAAGGAACACCAACAGTAGAAGGTTTAATAAGGGCATCAGAAGCTTTAGGACTATCAGCCCATACTAACCCACTAGCACAACACAGTGCAAGAGTTAGTAAACAGAGCAGGTAGCACCTCACCATCACAGCCATTGTCATTGTTGTTGTTTACTTCAATAGACTAATACAATGGAAGATGAAGGATGTGAATGAAAGACACATATTGAGTTGGAGTAGGACACAAATACTCACGATGGAAAAGAGAAGCAGTAACAAGTGCACAGTAAAGCAACAAAAAGGAATACCCCACTTTCAATGATAATATGTATCCCATTAATAGAAAGGAAAAGAGAACACACAATACCCAAATAAGAGAGAGAGCCAAACACACACAATACCCCATGGTTCTAGTTTATATATTAAATTACTCCACGAAAATGCATCTGTGTGTACTAGCAAGAGATGTATACCGTCAGTGAGCAGAACAGCCCAGTTTTCTGCAAACACACAACGGAAAAAGCAAATAATGGAATTATTAGAAAAAGAACAACACACACAAAAGAAAAAGAAAAGAAATTCGAATTAAAAGAGAAAGCTGTTAAGCGAATTATTAATTTATTCACCCATGAGGGATGTACGCAATTATGATTATGTTAGTATAACCATTATTATTATTATTTGTCCTCAGATGAGTCCCACCGTTCAGTACACAGTAAAGGAGAACAACACAGACACAATCAGCAGCGGTGCTGCAGTGCGCATCCACACAGGACTGACACTGCTGTCAACATTAGCCTTGTTCTGCATAGTGGGGGAAATGTTGTTGATCTGTGTGTCAGGTACGGAAACAGGAGATGGAGTGGTGGTTGGTGCTTCACTGATTGTGCTCTCGGAGCTCGGCGGAGTACTGGAAGTGGTTTCTCGTGATTCTGGTGTGGCAGGCGCATCAACAGCTGCAGCAGATTGCTGGGTAGTATTAGAGTTGCCAGGAGTACTGTTAGCTGTTGTGCTGCTTGATGCCCCCTGATTAGTATGTGTAGCTACAGTAGACACTTGAGTGTGGACTTGCGTGCTGGTAACTGTTGGTGTTGTTACGCTGGGTGCTGACACTTCTGTTTTGGAAGTCCTGGTGTTGTCAGAATGAGAAGAAGAACCACCTGCAGAGTTCTGTGCCGCACTTGATGGAGCCTCTTCATGATTAACTTGCCTCACGTCAGCCTCCGCTGTCTTGGGTTTTAAAAACTCCGTGCAATTTACTTCATTAGTAACAGTTTCAGGATTCCTCTTACACACCTCTCGAAACTTTTGTTCCTTATCCCTTTTCTCTCTTTCTGCCTTATGTTCTGCATTCCAATACCAACCAGTACTCATATCAACCTTTTTAGGTGGTTTCACATGTTCATAATCATTAAAAACGAATATTTCATCTTCACGTTTCACATCGTTACACGTTAATTTATCAAAAACAGCTTCACTGTTCTTCTTACACATCTTTCGCAATATCTGTTTCTTCTCGGTCCGTGTAGCATAAGGAACACCAGCCCAGCCCCCAAGATCACGAAACTGTGACTTTGGCTGTCCAGTACCAGTAATAGCAGCAGCCATGGTATACCCGCAGGCGCAGCACAGCACAACGGCCAACACACACATCACACGGCCCATCATCATAAGAGAGAGAGACAAACAATTGTTTCACGTAAAAAACAATGATCTAGAAAGAAAGACAATCAAAAAGAAAAAAAAAATAAATGAAGTATCAAACACGTTAGAACACACAAATCAATTACCACAAAAAAACCAACATAGCAGAAATAAAAACCCACCAGATAAAGATTGCAATACAGTGCAATAACCTCATTAAGAGTTAAAACAAAAAAAATCCCACACTCACAAATATCTCAAAAAAGGCTCAACGACCCAGCAAACCAGAAGCAAAAACAAACAGATATTAACCATTATCCCAACTTACCCAGTAAACACAGAAATACAACAACTATGGTTGTAAGTCTATATATGTGTATACGCAATTATAAATATAAATTCATCTGTTATTATTATTTCTTTTCCCACTGCAAAAAGCAGTTCATCATTATTATCATAGTGCAAGCCCAGGTGCACACGCAGAGTGAGAGTCTCCAAGAACACACACACACACAATGGAGTAGCAATAATAATAATTATAGAATAAACACAGAGAGAGCAAAAAACACACAAAACACATTAAGAAAAAAAAGAAGAATATCCCAACAGGTGGAAGATTAGTTAGACTGTAGGGATGCATGCAAAAAAGAAAAAGAAAACAAAGGGTGATCTGAGTCACACCACACCACCATTACAATCAGCACACAAGAAT